CTCACGTTGCCCAAACCGAGATGTACGAAGCCTGTTATAGAAGAGTAAGTAACTACTGAAAGCACAAAGCCGCAACAATAAGTCTACTTCAGAAGATAGGTACTAATGACCATCATAATAATACTGATGACAATCTGGAGACCCGGTTATAGTAATCATAGACTGCTTGAGCAGAGCTATGACAAGCATTGCAATGAAACCATAACACTGGTCTATTCGCCATCCGCGCGGAGGTAGTACTTCTGGCAACGGCCGGTTCAACGGTGTCACCCCTCGATCTGCCTGAGGTCGGTTTTAAAGTAAAGCATTAGCCCCTGATGAGCAATCCAACGCAACGCACGAATTTACGTGCGCTAAGTCAAAGCGTGAGTCACGACACAATTTCCTTGACCGAGTACCGAACAATTGGCAATCCTCGTTCAATTTCATCATCGATGCCAAGATATAAATTATCAAGTTCTGTAGCATTTTTAGCACTTTCTGCAATTTCAATTATAACTAAAGCAGATAATGGATTTATGTTGTACCTACACGTATTTATAATGAAACTTAATGCTAGCGAACTGATCTACTAATACCATAGCTAAAACGTTTATGAAGTAGAACAATTTTTAAGACGTGTTTGTTTAAACACTTCTACACGTAGTCAATTGATTTCGGTAATTTATTGATTCGCGACAACGAGCAATCATTACGGACACTGATTGAAAAGCATTGTTTAATTTATCCTAATTATGACGGACAATGCCAGCAATAATTTGGAATTCAATTTAATGGTTTCGTCATTGTGGCTATTAAAATTCATTGGCGAGTTTCTTGCATTAATTTAAATAAAATCATGTACATTTACGTTCAGCTGAAGATTTACGAGCGCATCCCTCACAAATGAAGTTACGACCTAAGGTAAAACAATGTATTATTATACGTATGTATTTTTATACGTGGCAGAGCCATGCTGCAGTTATATTAGTAGTATAGTTGTAGCACGAATGGGTCGGCTCGACCGGGGAAGGACCACGCTCTCACAGAATACCAGCGTGAAATAGTAGCTTAATGCTGCTGTATTTCGTATGGTGAGTGTAGAGAACCGGAGACCCTTTTTACTGGAAACGAGGCATTCCATCTTAGTCCTCACGGGTGACAACGCATCTGCATTTTGATTCGTAATCGAGGATAGATGTAGATGTCTATGGGCCACAGCAACCACTTACATCAGGTGGACTGTGTGCTCGTTTGTCACCCTATCCTATAAAAAAAAATGTATGTAGGTTATTCTGTATTGAAATATGTCATGTGAGAACAAGCACAATGAGTACAGAATATTCACATACGCACCTGACCTGATATTTCAAATTACTATATAATGACTTTGACACGGAAGCATTCGAAGACTTTAGCAAATCAGATTTCCTAAAGTCTTCGAACCTGATTTGCCCAGTGAGGTGAATATAAGAGAATCTTTCAAGTAATACACATATATATATATATATATATATATATATATATATATATATATATATATATAATATATATATTCTGTGTAGTTGACAACTAATTGAATTTTTTCTAATCGTAATTAAATCGGATCGGGTGGATATCATCTAGTTAATCGGGAAAAACTTACAATAAAATTTAATAAGCATTTCGTATAAGTTCTCGTAATCAAAGACATAGATTTTTAATAAAAGATTTTTAAATAAAGCAAGGATGTTACTAAGACCTAATGGAGAAAGTGGAAGCTAGTAGAAACAAATTGTGCTTTATTGAATATACATTAATTGAGGCGTTCGCACCGGAAAAGTCAATAGCGTACGACTTGAGCGTTTATTGAGTCATTTATCGTAGCCATAGGCGCAATGATTAATATCCCGGATACTTAGTTTAAGGGGGAATAGTAACTTCAGTACAAACACTTCCTGGATTAATGTGATTTGTTGTCATGCATTGTTTAATAAACAAGTTCGTCTCCGAATAATACGAGTGCAGCTCACAGCTATAAGACAACGGCGTATTCATTCGTAGATAAAACGATCTATAGTTTTTTCCATTATTAATTTTAACTACTAGTAGCGGCGTTAGCGAATTTGGTCGTCACAGAATGTGATGTAAGAAAGACGCTGGCAGTTTGTCTTGTTACGGTTTTCTGAACCACGTTATGTAAAAGGACCTCTTTGTCTTTACAAATAGGCTTTTTTCGGTTTCAGACGTTGGAATTTTCAGAAAACATGGCAGGAGATCGACGATCGAACGACCGTTTGATTCTGGTCCCTTGGGATAACTGAAATTGTTTATGTAAGACTACATGTCATAGATCATCCCCGCCGGCACCATTAAAATTGTTTAGTTGGAATTTTAAGTGTTGATTTACCACGTGCTCGGCGGTGAAGGAAAACATCGTGAGGAAACCTGCATGTCTGAGGAATAAGAAAAAAATATTACAAAGACATGTGAAGTTTGCCAACACGCATTGGGGCAGCGCGGCGGACGCTTCCTTGCCCTGAAACCCTCTAAGAAATGCCCCAACATTTAGGCCTGTGCCCAGCAGTGGGACGTATATAGGCTGTAACTTTACTTTTTTAACTTTTACATGTCATAGATACTTTGCCAGTCTCACACATCTCAAGAATACCTCGAATAGCACTGGGCATCAGAAGCGACTGAGCTTAGTAAATAGAGAAAATGTAAGTCTCTGTGGCAAATTTTTTAATGGAATTTTATCCGAGACTGGTTGTTGTTACTAAGCGAGATGTCTGGTTCTTTTCTTGGAAGCAGGGAAGCAACAGACCAACTTGGTACTATACCAGGGCAGTTGGGCTACATAATACTTTCAGTTTTAATGATACATTTATAGTTGTGAATATTGGGAAATGTATGAAACATAAAGAAGGCATTTTATTAACTTGCAATTTGATTTGTGTATATTATATGTCAATTTAAGAAATGCTTAAATTTGCTTTCTCTACCGTCACTAAATGACAATAGATACTGACAGGTATAGAGATAATTTACCCTTTCCCTGTTCCACGAATCTTACATGAACATTTCAATTGTTTGACTATTGTGTCTGTTTTGCGGACAGCAGAACTGTTAATACATAATTTAAGTAATCAATAAGCAACGAATTCGCTTAAGGTCGCTTATTTGCACATATTCGTCGATTAGCACGGTATAGAATCGTTGCACCTCTATCTCGAGGAGAAATCAAAGGCTCGACATGAGACTTCGGCCGACGAGTACCAAGTGATAAATAAAGTGTAATTGAGAGACGGAAACAGCCAATGAGTAAATCTCGTCCGTCAATTTATTTAAATTATTTATTAGTGCTCCGCTATAGACACCCGCCGCGATCGCTTTCAGTGCGCGTTCACAGAATGGTCTCCGGACGCACCCAATGTGCTGTACGACTGTTGTCATAATCGATATCGACACAGCGCTTAAAATCACTAACAGGAAGTCATTTCATGAAAAATACATATAATGAAAATGAAAAATATGAATAAAAATATATCGATTCAATACTGAGCAATTTTCAGGTTTTAATGTTGAAAAATGTTTCCTATAAATTGTAGAGGTAATTATTACGCAGTAAAATTGGTTACAGATATGCTACAGCAAACATTTTACTAAATACAGCGGACCAGCGGTAATGCGACAAACGTTTTGCAAGGCGGTGTCGGATTATAGGATTTGTCAGACTATAGAGTACTGCCTCAGCCCCCTGGTAGTCCGCAACTTTTTGAAAAAGAGTACCTTGTAATTCGACAGACTTCATATCAAATATAAAATAACAAAAAATAAAAATGTTATGTGATGCACAATGAATGGCTAAACAGTAAATAATGAAAGCCCGCTAGACCGCTACCATAGTTAGATATGAACTGAGACAATACGCGTTAAGCTAGATTCAATTAACTGCAACCTATTTGTCTACTTATTCGTAAAGGACACCTCCCTCCTGGCGGATTCGTAACCCTACTCGAATCTACCTACAAGTTAGACATGTCGAATTACAAGGGGGGGGGGGCGGATTAGCCAGGGCCAGATTACCTGGGGTCCGCTGTATATCTATTTTAAAAAAATAATTTGATACTCAATAGGAAATGCACTTAAACAACACACGTGTTGCCAAAACCAAGTAATTAAGAACTAATATATTATGTTTCTCTTTTTCAACACATGACTCTTAAGTTAAGATATGATTTGTCTCAGGAACATAACAATAAAAAAACCATAACGAATAAACTTGAAGGAGAAGTGAACTAGAAAAGCAATTGGTTCAAACTAAACACAAATTTGTTTTAGGTACGATAAACAGCTTCACTCGGAAACGTTTTTATTTGGCACGATTACCGCAAAAATCGTACTGGGTAGATTCAAATAAACGATACTGCTGGCTGACACGAAAACATTTTCCATTAGGCACCTACAAGTGGTGATTTTATCGATAAGTCGAGGTGCGTGTTCCGTTGATTCGCACCGAACTAGGGACGACTCGAATTAGTTAATTTGTGCAGATACGACACAATGGATGAGGAAATAATATACTCACATGTATGTACTTATGGCTACCGGGAGATTGTAATTGGCGTAATTGGACAAATCTGAACTCACTTAATAATGCCCCATTGTCGTGATTCAAATGGCAACTCATCGTTTGTAAAAGAAATGATTCATTACTTTCAAATTTAGAACACGAATTGCTATTTTATCTGAATTGAATTTTCTAGATGGTGATGTATACGCTGTTTAATAACTGCAAATATGCAAGATTAATTTAGCAAAAACTAATTTTGCCATCGTTTATACAATTCATGGTAGTTTTCAAAGCAAACGTAGGTACTATAAGTATTTCGGTGTCACTTTTGTGCATAAAATCTTTGGTATATAAATAATGAGAAGAGGGATTGTCGTACGTGTTGAAGTTTCGAAGGCAAGTGTAACTAATAACTAGGTACTACAGGTAAAGCAGTTATGAATCTTTAGTAATGCAAAAAACTTACCCATTGATGTCGGTAATGGACCAGAAGTGCTTGAGAACAGCTTTCGCAAGCAGATACCATATTTGCGTCCAGACCCACGAGGACTTATCGATAGACGATGATAAGAATTCCTTCGTTTCTTCATCGCAGTGAAGTTGCACAAACTTCTTTTGAAGGTCTTCGCTAATTCTACTGGTGTCTATTCGATACCACTAGAACAAGGAACACGATTATTATATTTTATGAGAAAATGAATAAGTAAGTAAACCTACTATAGGAAATATATAATATAAACATTAGTAATTAGTAGCTTAATGCTGCTGTGTTTCGTATGGTGAGTGTAGAGAACCGGAGACCCTTTTTACTGGAAACGAGGCATTCCATCGTAGTCCTCACGATGGTGACAACGCATCAGCATTTTGATTTGTAATCGAAGATAGATGTAGATGTCTTTGGGCCACGACAACCACTTACCATCAGGTGAACTGTGAGCATGTTTGTCAGCCTATCCTATAAAAAAAAACATAAGTAGCATAAAAGTTTGGATTTCGTTCTACACCTTACTTTCTCGCTCATCGTTAGAATTAATCTACGAGTCAGTACGAGTTAGCCCTTTTATCACCAATATTGATGAATAGTCGCAAACACGAAATGCAAGTCAAGCATGGCCGGACTGCATGGACCGATAGCCACACTAGCAAAATCACATTTACCTAGTCATTTCTCAGCGACCCATAGGTATTACACCATTGTACCAACTAGGTTATTGCTGTAGCCGCTATGACTCTAATCTGCAGCGCTCCACATAAGTGCTTTAAGCGTCTTTCTCTAGGGATCATAATCATATCATCAAATTAGGAATAACCAAACAAATATTCCTATTTATAATACTTTTTACCAAAAGGAATATTACGATCTTACTAACTCTACTAAAAAATGTTTGTTATCGTTGATAAGTTAAAGCACACACACACACACATTATTAATGACACAAGCAACAGAATAAATGAACTTAAATACAAATCATATCAACGTAAATTGATGTTTAACAATCTCTGCGCCCGCTACTAATGAAAGCGCACAAAAAGAGCAACGGAGTGCAAATAAGAGAGTTGTATGAAAGGAGCATAGCTCGTCACCCGTTGTGTGTTTAAGTCAGCGGCAGCGGTCCCACAAAGGGCAACAGCGGCTGTTAATTTCACGCTGCCTCGAATTAACATTTCTTTACGCCACAGAATAATAACGAATTAAAAAAACAGTCCCTCGCGTCTACATGCGACGATAATGACGGTGGCCGCGCGAGAGAGACGGCGCTAACTCATCAGGTCGCCTTAATTAATGCACGATCTGTCTTTATACTAAACTCGAAGACGGCCCGCGATGTCAGAGAAAAAAAAAACTTTGAGGGATTGTTAAGTCTACCTCCTACCGACGATGTTGAGTCGGGATCGCCGCTTAACTGGCCAAATACGGTGCAACATTATCTTTAGAAATGTAATCAAATTTTAATAATAATTATTAGTAACTTTCAACAAAATTTGTTCGGGAAATATAAATTTAATTTATATATGTATATCCAATTATTCACAAGAACTGTTTCATTTCATGCTAAAAACTGCAACATTTAAAACTTGAATTCAATTAAATGATTATTATATTCATATTTATTCGTGATATATTTAACGTACATATTTACTTTTCATTGTTATGAGTTATGACCCACACAAAAGTACCATGTAACATTACAGCTATAGCTTGTAAAACTTCACTGCTGAATATAGGTTTCCCTATAGATCGCCTGACAGGGAGGATATTTGCCAAAGTTGATGCATTGGCATAGGGGTGAGAAACCGTACTTTCTATTTTACTGAGTTGTTAACAGAAACATGTGATGAAGACATTTCAACTTCAACTTCTTCTTCGCAGCAACCTCTCAAAACTATTAAATTAAAGCATACTCTTTTGCTTGACCTGTGCTTTCGTTCGACTGTCAAATGAAATGTGAATAAATCCAGAGTTCGTAGTGTTAGGGAAACTCCTGAAGCCCCGTCGTTGCAGCTAAGGGCACACGTCGTATTATTTTATGTACGCGACGACGCGCGTTTTCCAAGTCCGCCAGTAATTAGAGTTCCGTAAAAAATATTAGTTTTTAAATATTCATGATTAGTATTCGCCGATACGAATATTCGGTAAATGTCTACTATTCGGCGAATACGAATATTCGTATTCATATTCGTTGCATCACTAGTTACTGGCTTTCCCTCTGACGGCTCTTACGGAGTATGACTAATAACAAAAGCCCGTAATCATAAAATCAACGTCAATTAGAGAAAATTTTAAGTCGCTCTTTTTTCACTTCTTTTTTACTTAATGACAATAGAAATAGGCAGGTACAAACGATCGTTTAAATTTAAAATTAGAATAACTACTTGGCCGTTTATTTTTATTTTCCAAACAATTTAAAAAATATAACGATTGTGTGCAAAAAGGCATAATTGATATTAGTGTATATAGAGCTTGAGTTAGAATATAAATATTTGGACCCATTGAATACTGATAGCGAATCACGTTGCTGATTATGCAATGCGCCGTCTTTACATTTAAAAATAAACTGCATAGGAACTACGGGATCCGACGAGGCGAATTCTCCAGACAGAATACAAATCATGGAAAATTTTGAATGCCGAAGTCATTGATATTATTCCCAGTTTTATGGATTGTTTGTTACACATTATTCGATAAATTTTTCATAATTTATTCGTCCAATGATTCTTATTCTGAATGTTTCATGTAAGAAATACCTAAGTCGTCAGTAAGAAATATGGATTTCAAATGCGTAAGATTACACGGACATGTACTAGATACAAGTAGCGGTTCCGATAACACACATCCTTTTAAAACATTATTCACATACATTATTCTAATAATTAATGTAATAGAGCAAAAGTTAGAATTTTATAAAGAAGTATGCCCACTTTCCATACATTGATTGACCTGTCACTTGATTCGTTTTACGGGTCGCGACTATCTAAAACTACTGTTGCATTTTGTACCTTTATATTTAGAGGCCAGGGAAAAGTGGTATAAAGTAAATAAGTTTTTCAGGTTATAACCTGTCAACTCTACACTATGGTATACTATCGTGTGTAAAGAGAATAACTTTCCACACCACAGTATAAAACCACAAAAATCATATCTAATCATAAAATAATAAGATAAATAACAAAAAAACAATTGGTTATTTTGAAAATTTATAAACCACATGACGATATAATAATATTTTCGTAGTCTGTGAAAAGAAATGTGTAAAGCACGTTTTTTTTTAAATATATATTGGCATGGCTTTTGGGCTTTTAAGTCATTGTAAAACGCGTTCTATCTCCAAAAGTCTATTGAGAACGATAAACATAGTAATATTACTTTCTTTCCTGGCTTTATTGGAAAATTCAATTATGCGATACGAAATAAGCAAAATAAACGCAATTTTTTAAAATATTTTACATCACTAGACGCGTTAAAAAATTTTAGGTCAAAATTGGACATGATTCTTTTCCTAGTCATGGTAGAAGTTTTAGGTCTGACTGAAGGACTTAAAGTTAAACTTACATTATCTACTAGATAGCTTTATTATGGAGATATTGCAATCAAAACAATTCAATTCAGTAGATAGAAACATTAAGCAAAGAAATTGCGTTACCAATAAAACATTCATTGTTATGCAATATAATAAGCTTTGGCTATTAGGATCCGAAAGATGGAAAAGATAATTTGGAAGTAGCGGAATAGTACAATGCTGAAACGTAAAGACAAATAATATTACGGGTATGACTTCCGCGTTGTTGTTTTTCTACATTATGTAGAACAGAGGCATCAGGACCGTTTATTTATGAGGCTCGCGTTTATGATTCCATTTCTGCTCGTGTAAAGCTAGATTTGCATGAATAACAATTTCCTTATTTTAAAAATCTACCTGTTAAAAAAGGCAAATCGAGCCTGATTTATTCAATCAGATATGTTATCGAGGCCGAATGACTTCTGTCTATTTTAACGTAATTTATGTGGGTTACCGATTTTCGCACAATGGTCAAGAGGTCAGACGGTAAAGTTTAATTGTATCTTTGTGTTTATGCGTGATGCGAGTGAAGACTTCGCGTTCAATGCGATCATTATGCGCCGTTGACTCGTTAGCGCGCGGGTCAACGGAGGTGCGTCCGTGGAACGAATGAAGGGATGCAGGTCCTTTATACGTCGGTCATTCGCCTGCTGCTAATGAATCAAACACTTGTGTGAGCATATTATCAATAGCGAGCGAAATATTAACGTTGAACACGTTCCGACCGCACAATGCCAGATTAATTTTCATTTAAACGTGTGAAAATAAATCGGAGCTGACGCCGTCTTGAGGCAGCAAGTATTTATTATGTTTATTAAATGTGTAGAGTAGCGACCTCCAAGTGTTGCATTATGTGTCGTGAATGGATGTTACTGGAAAGCACATCGCTCGTTACTGATGTAATTACCACCGACAAATTAGTCATTCTTGCGATGGCTAGTAACGAAAAACGCCTTTGTGAAAGAAGTCTTTATCTGTGGTATAAACATTTCATTATTTAATTTATATTTTATAATAAATAATAATTTCATTATAATAAACTGATGAAACACTTAGGGATTCGATAATACAGGTTGCTAAGGACTTTCTTTGAGGTAATCTGAGGTTATATTTTTATAAAATAATGATGAAATACCGAGCACTCAGTCCGGTAAGTGGATGCCGTGACCCACAGACATATACATCTATACTCGATTAAGAATTCAAATGTAGAATGATTGTCACCCCTGAGATCTAAGATGGAATGTCTCGTTTTCAGTTAAACGTGTCTCCGACTCTCTACACTCACAATACGAAACAGATGACCATTGAGCTGCTATTTCATGTTGGTATTCGGTGAGCGAATGGTCCATCCCCGGGCAAGGCAACGCATTCTTACTTCAACCGTAATATAGCTGCAACGTGGCTCTAATACGTACAACTTATTACAAAGATAATGGAGAGTAACGGGAAACGGAAATGGGTGTTGCCATACCAGTCTAAAGAAGTATTTAGTAAAATTAAATTAAATGCGATTTTTTATTTATCCTCTGAAAAAGATTACCTACACAGCTACAGGCTAGGACAGGTTTTTGTTACCTAATGTATAAAGAACAATTC